AGTAATGTCACTATTTTCTCCTGACAAGCTTAGCGGGGGGGAAAAACGGATGTCTCTGTTCAGATGCAGGAGATCTAACCGCTGGGTGAAGGAAAACATTAGGGATCATAATCTCAGTGGTCAGGATCAGGAAACTGGCAGAAGAATCAGTCAGAGGGATGATTGAAAGAAAAAAAAAGTTTCAATATATCGATTCATAATTTGAACTTTATTGATCCTGCATTTGAGAAAGGCTTGGGTCCTCTGGGAATCGAACCCAGGACTTTATGCTGTAAGGCAGGCATGCTAACTGCAACACTATGGAACCACAAATTGAGCTGTCCATCCATCCATGCATCCATCCATCCATCCATCCATCTTTCTGTCTGATGGCTTAGAGATATGACATCAGTTGTTGTCGTATCAAGTTGAAAATCAGGAGATTTTCTTTCCACATGTGACATTGATTAGCATCAGTTTTGCTAATTGTTTTTTGTGAACTGAGTTTTCCATCAGTTCAGTCGTGTTTTAAATCCTTCATTTACCAGAGTCAAACCACATACTGAGTTATTCGTGAATCAGAAAACATTCATTTATCTTCTCTCAGACTCCGGTGTGATTTCTGCTGCTACAGTACATGGTTCTCTCCTGATACTGACTGTCTGTTTCCACAACAGTCCATCTGTGCAGTCACTGTCATTCGAGGTGAAAAAATAACTGCAAATTAGGACTAGGGTGTGTTTTTCAGTGTTTATTTTGGGGATACTAATCAAAGGTGTATGTGTGTGTGTGTGTGTGTGTGTGTGTTTCCAATTGTCACAGATTTTAAGTGTGGCTTAGTGGTGAGAGCACTCTAATTAACTTCACTAAGGCTCAAACAGTTAATTAAGGCTTTCAGCTTGGTCGCCTCCAATTAGCAAAGGTGCAACAGCCAGTGTGTTACTGCAGCAGGGACTCAAACAGAACTGCCCTGGTTCTCACACATCCAGGGACTGACTGTGGACAAAAGGAAAAAAGGAACGCACTGAGCAGAAATACACACCTCCCTGGTCTTCTTTCTACTAATATGGCAGCTGTCATGAGAAACAAATGAAATGAACTGAATTCATCCACTAAACCAAAGCCCAAACTAATGCACAATGTCCTGAACATGTCTTTGTAGTGATTCCCAAATTAAAAATGTAGTTGTCATCCACATAAAACAAATATTTGTTTGCTTTACTTTCTATTATCCTTTTTTTTTAATTTAACTATTGTACTTAATCTTTTCAACTTACCTTAATATTTATTTTATTTCAATGTTGTTTTTTTCAGTTTTTAGGTAATGATGGGGGTTTTTGACTTCATTACATGTTCCAGTCTTCTGTTTTTATCCATTTCTTTTATTTTCATATTGTTCACTAAATGTCTATTTCTAAGTCACAGATATTGATTAATAATTTACATTGGCTCTTGTTCACATCTGCTGTTTGTGTGGTTGATTGCTTGCTATTTTTTCCTTAAATCCCCATATTTGTTGGGTCTGTCTGTTCCTGCTGGTTAATCGGTGTCACCACACTCACCTGTGTCTCTGTTGTTAGTCTCACTGGTGCCACCTGGTGCCCTGGGTATATATATTCCTCTCTGCCTCCCTCTGCCTTGGTAGGATCAGTGTTCGTTCAGTCAGTCAGTCAGTCAGTCAGTCAGTCAGTCAGTCAGTGAGTCAGTCAGTGTTTGGAGTTCATGTGTTGTGACCAAGTGAGTTTGTGTTCTTTTGCACTTTGTCAATAAACCTGCTGCACCTGAAGTCTCCCTTGTGTTGCATTTGGCTCCTGTCTGCTTCCTGCAGTGTTAGCATTTGGCTAACCTTTAGTCAGTCGCACAACTAAGAGGGGGAGATTTGTAGTTGGTCATTGTGTTGCCTGAGTCCAGATTCTCTCAGGGGCTTAAAAGCAGGACTGTGTGTGTGTGTGTGTGTGTGATATAAAAGCTGATTGAATCTTTTGTCAGGTAGGGCGAGCTGCACTATCCGTCCCTTTTCCCCTGAGTCTTATTCTGACACTGTGTCCCATTCAGCCGCCCGTCAGCTGCAGCCACTGGGACTGACAGGAAGGCTTCAGCTCCCCGTCTCCGAGGGACCGGGCTGCATCGATCACGGCGCTGCCTCGCTGACTGGACCACTGCAGATGGGGAGGGAGGGGGGAGGCAATGGAGGAGAGGGAATACGAGGAGTCTGACAACACGTCAGCATCATCTGTTAGAACATTACAGTCGTGAAGGAAGAAAACTGAAGAAACTTTTCCTGAGCTCTGCTGGAGTTTTAAAAACATCCGTCACCATAACAGGAAACTAACTGCTGTTAAAAAGACAACTTTGTCCCATGTTTGGAAGCATTGTTCGCCATATCCACAGTCGACCATCAAGTGTCTCAGGTATGAATTCTATAAATCATAATTTTTTATTCTTAACTTTTATTTTTTCTTCAGTGTTTTTTTATAAATATTTAACCAATATACAGTAAAATATTGGTTTATTCATAATAAATAAACCATTTTAACTGTTCTTTCGGCTGACAACTGCTCTTCACTACATATGAAATACTTTGTAACTCTTCTTTGAATAAGTCCACTGTAAGTAATTGAGTACATGTAAATATTTGAATATTATACTTTGAATATTTGAAAAATATTTATTATGTGTTACCCAAATGTTCTATGTTTGGGTAACATGACCTGGGTGAACGACAATTATTTTATGTCTTATTGACTTTGGTTTGTTTTTTAGCTATTTTGGAGCTGGTCTTCATGTATTTTTGGTTAGCCTGTTAAAACCATTCTTGGTTAATGTAGTATTTAGCTACTTTGAGTTCCCCGTGCTAATTTAAATATTTATATAATAACAATAATATATATATTTTTATATTATATATTTATATATATATAATAGTTGTAATATTTATGTGACATTTTTTTCTTTTCTTAATCCAAATGTGGTCCTTGGCAGTAAATTAATCACGGCCGTCCACACAACTGAACACTAAATGAAAAGGGAGTGTAAAGAAACCCCTTAATTTTTTTCCCAGCAGAGCGTGACGTTCACCTGCAGGTGGAGTGATACTCGGCTCAATAACCTCTCCCCAGGCCCTCATTAATCATGTGATGTGCAGGATGAAATCAAGTGGCTCTGCTGCCTTTACTGGCGGTCCCATCATTTACATGACAATCCTGGTGTGGTGTCTCCACCAGCACGTGTGTCAGCAGCACAGCTGCTGTTTATATGATTTGATTGTCTGGAAAATGAGGCTTGGTAAATTACATTAGATCATTGTTACGAATTCTGTAACTTCAGCATGTCCTTGGGATAACCAGTTGTTTTTTGTTGTCAGGAGGGCAAAAGTTAAGAACAAAAGCCGAAGAGTATCAATGGAGGCGTCAGAAATCCAGGAACTCAATCACTAGTATCTGATCGTTGAAATACATTTAAAAAATACCATCAAATAACATCTTCAAAAATGAAAGTTTAATTCAGAAAAATATACTTTTTCAGTACATCAAGTATTGTTAACATTAATACACTATGTAATAAGATTACAAAAAATAATATTAAATATCAAAAAAATAATAAAAAATCACTAATTTGCCTTAAAATAGATAGCAAATTGATTTTATTATGGTCCAGTTCAGAAAAAAATAAAGTACATCAACCGTTGTTAATACTAACATAACTTTAATAATAAGATTCTCAAAAAATCTTCAAAAATAAAAGTTTCAAAAAAGAATGAAAATGCAGTAATTTGCTTTTAAAAATACATAAAATTAAAATTCAGATAATTTTTTGGCACATCAACCACTGATCAAAAGCAACATACTATACTAAATATTTTCCTGAAAGTCTCCAAAAAGAAAATGTCTTCATTAAAACCAGGGATGTCCGATAATATCGGCCGATATTAGCATACTTATGTAATCTGTAAGAATTGTTATCTTTTTTTCCTCCGATATTGAAAACCCGATAACATTATGCCTGGGTTTCACCAAATGATGTGTGACCTAGAAATAGTTTAATTCCCCAGCGACAGACCAGTCAGATGTCTCAGTGCTTTGGAGAACTGTTATTGAAACACAACTTCAGTAACTGGTTCTAGCTTCTCCAAAATCGCTTTTTCCTCCTCTCACACTCCGCACTCTCTGCACTCTCTCTTCCTGAAGCACATACGCTCTCACCACGCCTCATCACTCCCCCACACATACCCTTATCTGTTGACTCCATAACAAATGAACATAGAACATTATCAACGCTATACAAGCCCAGTCACTAGATGGCAGCATTGTAGCTTTTTTCTATTCATTTATTTTGATAATCAGGGGACTGTATGCAGAATGGTGTTGCCAGGAAGTCATACAGTGATTTGTACAGATAAATGAATGAATATTACCAGGCACACAATAGTATTTCAATTTGGGTGTAGTGAAAAAAACTTCTGTACCCCAATCAGAAGTATTACTGTTATCAATCATGGATAACAGTAATATACTGTAGTAATAATTTCCTGAAAAAGTCTTCAAAATGATAGTTTCTCCAAATTGAGAAGAGAGAAAAAAGAGGAAAAAAACTGTTGAGGCTACATAACTAAGCCAAAAACAACTATTGTTAATGAACTAAGGAACTAGAGGAGGCACAATGAATAGAAGAAAGCTGGAATCAAAAGCAACAGTTGATGCAACCAAAATGACCTTTGACCCCTGCCAAACTCCTCCTCGGACACAGTGTGGAAGAACCTGCACATTAGAAAAACACATCATTGTGCCACATGTTTACACATCACTATGACTGCTCACGATGAACAGAAATGCAAACACCTCAATGGAATAAGGGGCATCTGTTTCTTTTGTTCAGATGAAGACAACAGTCACTGGATGATTAGTTCAACCACACAATAATACTCTGGAAACACCACTTCAACTCACCAGGCCTCAAATTTGCCAATCCTGGTGGAGGTTGTGGTCACTTCTATGGCCTCCTGCCCACCTCCTATAACCACCTACAATACACACCCACACACACACAATTGCAAGGTTCGAGGTCACTGTTGATCTAGTAGGATACTAGATCAACAGACAGAGTTCACTGGTCTGTCGGTTTTCTTGTCTTTATGTGATCCAGAGTCAAAGACCTGCGGAGATAACACATGGCACTCAGTCATTTGCACAACATCCTCAGTCCTCCTTCTCTTTTTTTTATTATTGTTGTGGTCCATCTGATTGATCGACCATTCGTGGCCCTGCAGTTCGACGGGTTTCTGTACAGAAAAGCAATATTTGCAAGTTTATTTCATAATTTCAAAAAGGTGCATCAGACCAGCTCAAACTCCTGTCAAAGGCTAATTTTTTATTTACCACGACAACTCTATGTTCATGAGATGGAAGTTGTTTTTTCAAGAACATACTAAAGTATAATCAAAATCTGACTTATGGTGTGAAATGAGATGGGAACTTTATTAACTTTGTTGATAAAACTCTCTAAATCTCATGACATGTTCTGACTAATGACCTGGTTGTCCACTGGGTGTACTCAGCTATCATTGGGGATTACATACTTGCAATCTGTCTTTATTATTTCCATGTGGAGTCAGACTCCAAACTGAACAATAGTGTTAATGAGTAGCTCATGGTTGTTCCCAAAAGGCAAATAAACACCTGATAAACTCATTAAAGTAATTGGTTTATTAATTATTCATACTGTTGTAGATGAGTAAAAATGATGACACAGCAAAAGTTTAAGGTTTATAGCAGCAATAATTATCATTCAAGCATTTGAAGTTTTACATTTGAGATCACTTGAAGATAATTATTGGAATTAATTCATTTTAGGGACAAAATTGGGACTTTTTGAAAATTAATGTGTATTCTGTGCTCTCCTCCCTCTCCTCCAAGTTAAAGCCGAAAGCCTGGTCGTGCTGTATGAAAAGGCGTGATTTTGCCATTTTATATATTATATTGTCAGGAAACTTATAACTGTGAAAACAGTTATTAGTTAAATATCCTTGAGTTAAAGAATATAACACAGTCACTGACGCTGTTCTGTTTAACGTCTTTATTTGATTAACTGTTTGTATTAAAAATTAAATAAATAAAGACAAAGAATGGAAAACAACGGCTTGTGTTTTTGTTTTATGCTTCTTATCATTCTTACGTTCCATCCGGTTCTTTTCCGGTTTTCACAATAAACTTTACTCCAAGAGCTCAGAAAATACAATGAAAATCAATATACTGGACTTTTAATGTGAAAGGTAAACTTTATTGTCGGTAGAGAACATGACGTAATTTCTCAACAAAAGTAGGCGACTTTTGCTGTTTTGGTCCAGTTTTAGCCATCGGAGAAATCAATAAACACAACAGCAACCTACAGTTTTTCAGTTTTACAGTTGGACATTTCTCCATTTCAGGTACAGTTGATCTGCTAAAGCTAACGCTAATGTCATTTTGAGAAAACTTATCGTCGTCATATGTTTGGTTCACTTCTGATGGTGTCAGACGATGACAGCACATTGTTACAACATAGTTACTTCACATATCCATTGTGTATTGTTACTTAGACAGCCTTGCCACAGTCTCGTCACATTAACTGCCCTAACTAAACCTATATTCTTGCGCACACTAAAAACAAAATGACTTCCTCTCGTTCACGGCGTTGCGTTAACGTGGTGAGATATATTTTGTTATTTTGGATATTCTACGACAAAAGCTGTATGGAGACAATACAAAATAATAAAATGCATTAAACTGCCTATTCAATTCTATTTACGTTTATCTGTAAATTACAATTTATTTTTAAAATAATATACCAATTACCATTATAAGAAATCTACCATACTGATAGATATAATAAAGGGATTTTTGATAGATAGGAAAAGGTTCGTTATGAATAAGAAATCGATAAGAAAGAAGTCACAATGTTTACCAACGTTCTTATAATGACAGGGTGTTCAACTATTTATGTACTGTTTTCTAATCTGTCTTTACCCCCTTACCATCTTTTTGTTTGTTTAATTCACAATTAAGAAACGTTTTACTATTGTCTTAGGCAACCTTACTTTTTTGGCCTAACATTTTACTTTACATTTATTGTTTGTGTACGGTTTTTACCATACTCCTAGACTCTTGGGTACAGTCATTACGAAAGTGGAAGGAAAGTGAACTGCACACAACGAAATGTGACTTCTGCTTTTAACCCATCATCAAAGTGAACAGTGGGCAGCACCTCAGTGGTAGCTTGGCAGCTGGTGGACTAGAACCTGTAACCCTACGGACCCAACTCCGCTTCCTTAACCACTAAGTCACCGCTGCCCCTTACAAAGTTTTTCCATATCAATTTTATATTTTAAAGCAAGTTTTTAAGATCCTGGATGTAGAAATTTTTAAGGCTACAGCGTGGGCAACAACATTTAAAACATTTAGAAATGCTTGTTGTAAACCTTAAAGTCTTAAATTTTTGCTGTTTCAGGGGGATGGAGGAAGCTAAACAAGATGCATTCGACAATGCCAGACTTGAAGTGATTAAAGATGGATACAAAAGAGCCTTTGAGTGTATCAACAAAGCTCTGACAGCGGATGAAGCTGGAAACAAGGCTGAGGCTCAAGAGCTCTACACAAAAGGGCAAAAACACCTTCTTAGGGCCATCAGTGTTCCATCACAAGGTGAGGAGTGCACCGGTAGCTCCTGGGAGTCAGCCCGGCAGATGCAACAGAAAATGCGGGAGACACTGGAAAACATAACTACTCGTCTGGCCCGTCTAGAGACTAGCACTGATTCTGGGTGTGTACCTTCAGTGAGCACCAGCAGCAAGTCTGGTGCAGTTTACCCAAAACTTCCAACCAAAGAAACCCCAGAGAGGCCTTCTCTACCAAACCTAGCCTTCACTAGAGGCCCAACTCACGGAGCTGTTGGAGGTTTACCTGCACATAGTGGAGTGGGACATCCTCTTTCACCTACCAGACAGCCTACCTGCCCAACTGAACAACCTCCAGTCTACACTCCTCAGGCAGAAAATGGTCACTTGTCCATTTCCTATGGAACAGAATCTGGGGAGATGTCTTTGGTCGGGGATGACTTTTACAGTCACACATCTAACGCCTCACCGTCTCCACAGAGTATTGGAGAAGATGCAGAGGAGTTGCTGCACATCCCTCATGGTGTGCAGATATTCTTTGTCACACCTGAAGGCCATGTAAGTGCTCCATCTTACCCAGGTTACCTGAGGCTGGTTAGATTTACCAAGGATCACGCTGACAGCATGACCAACCGACCTCCAGCTTTTCTGCAGGTATGGAAACACGACTTCTCCCCATGAGTTTCATCCATTTGTTTCCAATTTGACTTTTATTACTGGTTTTCATATGAGGAAGTGCAAAGTGTAATCTACGTTTGTAAATTATTAACTCTAAAGACATATCCCTGTCACCAATTGCAACTTTATCTTGCAGACTTGAATTATGGATTTTTTTTACAACTGCTTCTACAATAGTAAAAATCATAATAATAATTATAACAATTATTATTATCATGATTTACTGTTAAACTACAGGCTGCACCAATAATCTAATGCAACACAGCTATAGTGGGAGACAGAGACAGAGAAAGACGTCTTTGTGATCCTTTGCCCTATTGGCAGGATCATGTGAGCAGTGGTGACTAAGTACTCTAATCCTATTGGTGTCTTTTTTTAGTTTTATTTCACTGTTGTCATCCTTCTGTGACAAAACTCCAAATTGGACACAGATAGTACTTAAGCTGTGCATTAAACGTTACTTTTGTTGTGTTTGTACCAGAAACTGAATGTGTACTTTTACTCAGTTACCCTCAGGTGCTGTTGACACAATTCTGTCTTGTTTTCTGTGACTTGTCAGTAGGTCATAAGACTGAAATTTGAGTCTTCACTGGGGAATTCCCCAACTTTCGTTACCAGTGTGTGACTCACATGAGCAAGAGTAATTCCCTGATTACCTCCCCTTTTAAATAATGTTTTTCAAATATTTAATAGGTGATCTGTTGCCTTCTTTTTCTATTTTAAACAAAAATATATTATGTACTTATATTTATATTATATCTTATTTTTACAAAAATATTACTGTCCTGGGCTTAATTATTATTCCACTAATGTTTGAGGTTTTTAAAAATATATTTATTTAATACATATTTTTCAGCTTAGTCTACTATTTTAAAAAAATGCTTTAGAATCAGCTCTTTTAGCTGGCATGTGAACTACAGATTTTGTTACAGCTACTATATTCCTAACTGGTGTTTTCAGTCATTCTGTCCAATGTTTTGGTCCATCTATGGACCTCTGTTTACCTCAGCAGACTTGATGTCATGGAAAGTTAACATACTTTGTTTTGCTAAGTTTTAACCTTTGTCACGCAACATTTTTTAGGGGAATCAGACACTATTTATGCATAGCATTACAAAATACCAATAAATTGTGTTGACATTCATTTTCTTATTTCTTTTGGCAGGTTTGTGACTGGTTATACCCCATCATGGCCATGAACTCTCCAGTATTACTGTGTAACACTGGCGTCTTTATGTTTCCGGACATGATGGCACCAGCTCCTGGCTATTACGTTGGTGTGGTGTTGTCATCTGAGCTGCCTGCAGCAGACAGAGAACTGTTCCACGACTTCATGTCCCAGATGACAGACCTCAGGGTTCAGGTTAGTGAGTGCCAGCAGATCTGACACAACTGAACTTCGTTCAAGTTGGGACACTCTTTGGTTTTCCTGACACAATGAGGCTAACTTATTTGACAATACACAAGCAAAGTTTGACATCAAGCACACTTATTAAGAGCTTTTATATCAGTAGGGCTTTAATTAATACCCAAATATCTGTTAGTTGTTATAATGTTTTCTATTTATCACTTAATATTAGAAAGTACATGAAATTCTCCCTTCAGCTCTTTGACCATAGTCAAACTATTTCAGTTCTATCATCAATTGCTACAGGTAAAATGAAATACTACAAAAGTTAGTAATTCTTCCACTAAAAATAACTGTTCTGCATAATCTGTGATTTCCAGTCATTTATTTGTTGCTATGAAGTTCTCATTGAACTAGACATTTGAGAGCTCTTACTCTTGTACTCCTGTGTCAGCATTACAGGGATTTGAACAGACAGGTGACATGAATGGTCAGGTTTAATGCTCTTATCTGCAGCAGCTAGAACAACCTCAGATCTTTATCCGACAGATTGCCGGTGTAGTCATGATGATGATGACGATTGAAATGCCTTGAATCAGAGCAGGTCATTTATGACATGAATATGATCAGAAAAGAATTCCCCAGTGATGGAAGTAATTTCTCTTCAACAAGTAAGCCCTTAGTGTGACTTCTGGCATAAAGGGTGACGTGGGTCTTGCAGCAGAGAATTTATAAAGTTTAAACTGAACAAAATGTCAGAATAACATCCATCAACAGCAGATGTTTTTATTATCAGGCTCAAGATGAAGCAGCAGCATCCATCGACCTTAGTCAGAAAGTGCCTATCACAACACCTGAGGAGATTGAACCAGCTGCCGCTGAGGAGGATAAGGATCTGCCCGAGTGGAGTGAAAAAGTGGCAAGTGGCATCCTGACAGGTGAGTCTTGGCCAAGTATTTCACAAATACTTTGTGCAGCACCCACTTTTTGTACATAGTAGATTGTAGTCACTTTTCTCTCACAAATCTGTAAAAAACCTTTTGAGCTTGCAGTAAAGTTTGAAGAATTTTCAACCCCTTACCTTAATATGCCTCAATATTATCTAAGGCAGTTACTGTATGGTGTAACCTTAACCTGACCTTGGACCTTCATTTTGAAGCAACTTATTAACAACTAAACAGATCACTGATTTTGTTTTTTTGCAATGCACTTCCTCCAACCATGGGCCACAGTGTTTTTGTTTGACATTTTGGACAAAGAAATTGGACTTAGGTATTTTGGACTTATATTGGGTTGGATGGGCTGTAGTTGTTGGGTTTTTCTTTGTTTTTCTTTTTTGTTGTTCGATCCTGAAATTTTGACTTATATGGGACTAATACAGATCAAGAGAGATTTTAGAAGCACCTGTTGCCAGAGCAGCATAATTTACTAATGTCCTTTCAGGTGCGTCCTGGTTGAGCTGGGGCCTGGTAAAAGGAGCTGAATACACAGGCAAAGCCATCCATAAAGGGGCTTCCAAACTGAGAGAACACATCACTCCCGAGGACAAACCCTCCAACGTCAGCCCCACCGTCTCCAAAGGTCTCCATGTTGCTAAACAAGCCACAGGTGGAGCTGTCAAAGTCAGCCAATTCTTAGGTGACCAAGCGTTGACACACTACATACACCTGCTTTACTGAAGTTCCTTGGGTTTTTGCTCCTAAGTGCTTAAATGTGTTGCCACAGTGGATGGTGTGTGTGCTATTGCTGGCTGTGTCGGTCGAGAGTTGGCTCCACACGTAAAACATCATGGAGGCAAACTGATCCCAGAGTCAATAAAGAAGGACAAAGACGGGCGTTCCAATATTGATGGAGCTATGGTGGTAGCTGCCAGTGGAGTTCAAGGTAGAGATTTACTCTTTCTCTTTTTTACCCTTAAAACTTAGAAGGGAGAGCAGATTGACAGGAGTTGACTGTTGTGACTATATAACTATGATGTACATAGTTGTGAACAGCAGAACAACAAATCTCTTTAACTAACTACAAAAACAATGAGTTGACTTCTGTCCAACTAATAAAAAAGAATAGTAGGAAACCTAGTTGTATTATAGGAAAGTTACACTGTAGGGTAAATATAGGAAAAGTAGTGTTGGACAACTTTATTCTTGAATTTAAACTTTTCAAAATTGCTTTGACACTTCCCTTTATCAGAAATATAACTAATTCCAAATCCCAGATAAAGTTCTATGATAAATGTTGTTTGTGTTCATTCAGGCTTTGCAACCATGTGGACTGGACTGGAGGTGGCAGCAAAGAACATTGCTACAAGTGTAGCCTCAGAGACGGTCACCACTGTAAAACACAAGTAAGTGTCCCTTTCTCCCCCCAGTGGCTCACTGACTCTCCTTCACTTAAATAATTTGAATTAACCAGACTTTCTGCTTGACACGATGTTAATGTCTGTGTGTCACGTGACTTCTTGCAATTTGCTTTGCAGATTTAGGGGACTACAAAATGTCCGTGACCCACATAGTGAGAAGTGTACCTCTTCCTTATAATTACCAGCCTATTAACTTTGGGCGCGATTAATCACACGCTAACCTTGGGGTTTTTTTCCTCAGTTATTGCACTCTCCTTTTTTGCTGCCTTCACAAATTCCCTTCTAACTGTCTCTAATTCAAATATCACAGCAACAGCACGTTTGGGATTTAAGCCTGACCTTAGAGTTAGAGTTGTGGAAACAAGGACAGTGTCCAAAACAGTGAAGTTTACAACGTCCTCAACCTATGATTTTTCATGGATATGTCGCCCTCTCCCATAATTTTATTAAAAAAGTCTTGTTCCATTATTCTGATGTACGACGTTAAAACTAATTTTGCACAAGAACTAGTTGGTGAGGAATTAAATGCCTTCAACATCCTAAAGTAAATTAATACTTTAAATAAGCAACTCTGCTGCACATCCCTGTATTTGTAATTCACAAAAAAAATGTTAATTAAAGGCTGTCAAACTTTCTTAATCTATAATTGTGCATGTGTAAAATTCCTTCAGGGCATGGTTTCATTTTTTAATCCTCAATCTCCTTGCACTGTACTGATCAATTCTCCCCTCCAACCCTCCGCCCCCTTCTCTGACCCTTGTGTTAATCAACACTCGTGATGAAGATATGGAGCCGCTGCAGGACAAGCCACCGACCACGCCGTCAATTCCGCCATCAATGTGGGAATCACTGCCTTCAACATAGACAACCTAGGAGTCAAAGCTGTGGTCAAAAAGACGGGGAAGAGTACGGCCAAGGCCATTCTGGAAGATCATACCAAGAAACTACAGGAGAAACAGGAGGAAAGAAAACAAGGAGAGAAAAAGAAGAAGTAGGAGACCGTAGATTTTCTTCAACACCCCGCAAAGTAATAATACTTAATATATATTTATTAACGTTTGTATCAAATGATCTATATTCAATATGAAGGACTTCATCTAAAATGGACCAATATTTTTATTCATATAATTTCTATCCTAGCTTAATATCACAAAGTGACATATTTATTTAAAATATGGAGAAAGATTCTATTTACAATTAATCTAAATTATATAAATAAATAGTTTATTCATTAATCATTTCTCAACCTTGGAATTAAAGTTATATCTACTTTTGATTAAATCATAAAGCGTTTGACTCAACACTGTAATATGTCCTAAGCCCACAAGGGGGCAATTGTTGACATTTTTGAAGTGACCTTCTACAGTATACTTTTGATCTCAGTAACGTGTTCTCACTCGGCAAACTCACAGTTGAATACAGCTACAGCAGATCAGGCTCAGTGGGCTGCGGTTCCATTCATGACCTTAACAAACCTGAGTGTGTTTGTAGTATTAAAATCTTTGTTATCTATTCTCATTGGTTGAGGGGCTCGTACAGTTAATTATTATTATTAATTATTTTTGGTAAGATGGCACCAATTGGTTTATAATCTAAAAACATACTGGAACAAATACTGTAGGGAGAAGTTTTTGTTACACCTGGCTACAAACATGTACACTGACAGAAGGACACAGCTTAAACATAGCCTCATCAGCCTTAAGATACTTCTTACATTTTCTTTTGAATAAAGCCTCTCTAATAAAAAATAGACCCGTAAGGATGTGAGCTGATATAGAGAGCTTTGGAAAACAGTTGAACCTTTTACATTTCAGTCCAATAACAATTTCAGCAAATATGAAGTATGGGTGGTTACAACATTATTTAACAACCCAGTTTTTACTACAAATTTCAGACCACAAACATTACAAATATTCAGTTTGTCGCTGCTACTGCCACAGCCCTTTATACTTTACATCTATGGGCTGTTCTGTGTTAATAAACTATGCACTCTAACATGCCTGTCTTTCAGCAGGGGTTTGAATAAAGAGTGAAATATAAATTAATGTTAAAGAAGAGTTTAGTTTTGTTTTTAACTGTATCAAACCGAGCTGCTCTGTAATTTTCTCTGTATGCAAAATATGAAGGAACCATAGACTAAGAAAATATTGAATGTAAACTTAAAAAAGTTTGAGTTTGAACTATTCTATAACCTGTGGATTACTTTTGTTGGATGAACACCCTGTCGAGTTGTCTGTTTAATTACTTCTACATATGTCATTACTATTTATAGATTTGGACATAAAACACTGGATTTCACTGACATTTATGAATGTGCAGGATAATGAGCAAAGATATAACTTTAAAACCAGATGCATGTTTAGAGTTTATTGTTGAAATTTTGTTTTGTCTTATTTTCCTACTCAAGCTTTGAATGTTCACGTCGTAAAACGTAAATGTCTTAAGTGTTTTTCTGTTGACATTTATTTGCAATCTTAAATAATTGGACTTTCACTAATAAACAAATAAAGAATAAGCCTTTGAGAATATTTGGGGTTTCTTTCTCTCTCTTAGGATCTATAGCCCAGATTCATCGATCTATCCCTGCCCACTCAGTCCTACATGGACATGCTTGACCGCGGGAGTTAGCTAGAGAAAATCCAAACACACGGGGGCCTTAGAGCGCGTGCTATTCTTTGGTCTTCAATTAAACAGTAAAAGCCCAAATAATGTATAAACTTAGTGATTTATATTTATATTTTAGGCCTATTTAACAAACTCCAGGACGAGCATTACTTATCGGATTGGTGGCTGTTTTTCTTCCTTTGGTCTTCACCAAGAACTTAGCTTTTTGTAAGTTACTGTCTGATTGTAGTCCACCTGAGCAGAAGGACACAACAATTATGTTTGATATGAAAAGCTCTTCTGATTTTACATATTGGAAAAGATCTCCTCAAGCCTCTGAGTTAATATTTTACCCAATATTTTGGGTTTATATTTTAAATAATTTTTGTAATTGAATTCACAATGTTTTCAATATTATTGTTTTGAAGTTATGTACTCGTCAATACCTTGTTAATAATAATTATTTTTAAAATGAATACATGCTGCTGAATACAGGTTGGAGCCAATCAGACCTGACATAGGCGGAGCTGGGGCAGGCCCTGGTATATCACAGTGCTACATACTGTATGTTGTAAATGTGCACCACTAACAATGGTGAATTTGATTCTGCCCTAGATTAAAATTATACATGTTTGTTTCAGCTTGAAGGCGTGTCACCTCATTGCGCACCAGGGGTCGCACTACGTGAACGGACCTGCGGTGACATGCATTGTGGTCCAGTGTAAATTACTGCAATGGTAGAGAGGTGGTGTGGAGTGAGGAGGGTGTGGGAGCCCATCAGCAGCTACCCAGCCCTGCCTCCTCCTCCTCCGTGCACACACGCTGGCGCGCGCACGCACGCTGAGTAGCCGCAGCAGACCTAGAGCAGTAACAAAGGGATGCACGGCTCATCTGCAGCTTCAGATGAACACACCATCCACTGAGACGCCACTTCCTGCTACAGACACAAAACCATTCTGTCCTCACCACATAAGGTAAGTGTCACCACAACAGGGACACTCTGCATGTCCACAAACTGTTATCTTGTCTCCAGTAAGCCTTCAGCCAATCCCCTGTTAGTTGTGTTTTATATATAAGGCTGGATCATTCTGGCCCAAAATGCATGTGAATTTCAAAGGCTACATGTTAGCATTGAGGCACAGCAGCATGAAATGGGTGTGACATGTCACTGCCATGCAATCCTGTGTTTCAGTAGCAGCAGCAGCAGAATTAAAACATGTTCAACTGAAAAGCAGTTCATACAATTGTCCAAAAATGAGCTCTATGTTTATTAACCTTACAAAATGACAACTGAGCCTCCTGCAGATCTCAACATATTGATATTTATTGCATTGTATGAAATTATTTAAAACAATAGCAGCAATGGACTTTTTTTTACAATAAAATAAAATACATTATATCATATATATTAAAATCATAAACATTCAAATGTTAATATCTACAGCAGGTGTGAAAGAATTATGTATTTTTGAATAAAAGTCAGAACATGTCCTACATAGATATACAAAGTAATGAGTCATCATTGTCATGATTAAGAATCATCATTATTTCTTTATGTGTTTTGCTTTTTGACTGTACATCATCTCTATCCTCCTCATCTGATACTTTTGAATCACAATATTCTAGAATGTCTATTAGTAAAATATTTGACTGGGCCATAGTCAAATAAACATAGTCTCTTTTTTTTTAATCCAGTATAACAGATGAGCAATTTTAGATTTCAATCTTCTAAATTTTCTAAAATGTTGGCTCACTTTTACAGGTGGTTATTTCTGAAATGTAAAACTGGGACTAAGTATCCGCTTCAAGGAAGTAGGTTGTTCAAACATTCTAAATTGACCATAGGTTGTATCCTGCCCTTGCCCATTGACAGCTAATATCCTTCAAAGGGTTAAGCATTAGACAATGAATGAATAAATTAGTAATATTAACAACAATGATATTATTAATAACACAAACATTTCTTTAGGAATTCCAACACCAAAATTCAGATTTCCTTGTTTGATTTTCAGCTCTGATGTCATGTAAATGTCATGTGCTCTCTGTGTTATTCACGTTGTAGCAGCAGCCCACAGTCATGGAGCTGGAACACTTTGATGAGCGTGACAAGGCTCTGAGATACACTCGACGAGGCTCCAGAGGGAACGGGCTCCCCAGTCCCACTCACAGCGCTCACTGCAGCCTGTACAGGACCAGAACATTGCAGGCACTTAGCTTAGAAAAGAAGGCCAAGAAGATCCGGTTCTACCGCAATGGTGACCGCTACTTTAAAGGGATAGTTTATGCCATTTCTCAGGAGAGGTTCAGGACTCTGGAAGCCCTTCTGGCTGACCTCACCAGGGCTTTGTCGGATAATGTCAACTTACCTCAAGGAGTACGAACCATATACACTATTGATGGGATGACCAGGATCACCAACATGGACCAGTTTGTGGAGGGTGAGCAGAGGTCCCACAAACCTATAGTCTACTATGCAGTGCATTCCTAAATTTCTTTTTCTTTTCTATCTATCTATCTATCTATCCATCTATCTATCTGTCTATCTATTTATCTATCATGTAGACTAGTTTGGGGTTCATGGAAGTATGCTGACTGGAATTTTACAAAAAGAGACCTGAATGTGCAGTATATAGAGCGAGGATATCGAAAGAGATACAGCGTCCCCGAGTAGAATCCTACATACAACACAATAAAATTACTTTTTTTTCTATCTATCTATCTATTCTTTTTTTCATAGAAACTATGCTGGTAAGAAAAAGTAAACATTTTCTCCAGTGCCCAAGAGCTGCAATAGTTTCATTATAGACACAGATAAACCAAGAAGTCCAGTGTCAAACTCTCCATCTCTCAGTTACCAACCAACTATCTGAGAAAAGATGGCTGATTCCAACACAGGAAGTTTCCAGAAGATCAAAAGTCACTGTAGGACAGGAGAGTGTTTCCTTCTCCTGCCTAAATCGACCTGTAGCTCATTTAAGTCTTTAATCATCAGTTTGTTCATTTCTCTGCAGGCGAGAGCTACGTGTGTGCATCTATAGAGCCATTCAAGACACTGGAATATACAAAGAATGTCAACCCCAACTGGTCGGTTGGTGCTAAAACTGCCGTTGGCTCCCGTGACCCATCGTCTCTCGGGAGCGGTAAGGCTGTAGCCACAGAAACGAAAGAGGGCAAGGACTTCATCAGGCCAAAACTGGTAACCATTGTCCGCAGTGGAGTAAAGCCACGGAAAGCGATACGGATCCTTCTCAACAAGAAGACTGCCCACTCCTTTGAGCAAGTCATGAGCGACATTACCGATGTCATTAAGCTGGATTCTGGAGCAGTTAAAAGGCTGTTTACCGTTGACGGAAAAATGGTGAGTGTTAAGCAATTTTACAATCCTACTGTGATCCTGTCCTACTGAGCAGGAGCTGATATATTAGTGAACATCAGCTTTGGGTTTTTGCAACAATGTGTTCTATATATTAGTGAACATCAGCTTTGGGTTATGGCAACAATGGAAATGCATTTGCTTGGTTAGAAATCTGTGGTAAAATGATGAAGGTTTACTAAATTTTTTTTTTGTAAATCTTCAGAATCTCAATTGAATCCTTTATATTTTCTTCGCATGTCAATTATATGGTGTTAATATGCTTTCCATCTGGCATGGTTAAAAGTTCATATAAGAACATTCATTAGAAACGTGTATTTCGATTCTGAGTCTTAAAGAGTTTCATCCTGGCCTAATCCATAAAATAGCAAGAATTGAACAGAAAGACTGACACAAACACGGACAAATGTGTAACATCATCTCTCTCGGTAAAGACAGTCTTGCAAGTCATGATGAAATCAAATACAACCATTAAATTCACTTATACAGTACAATATCACTTGCTCATGCTTTGATTGTATCCGCGAAACACCAATTAATTTAGGAATATAATGTTTTGCGAGGTCATGTTGACTGTGCTCCTCAAACTGAGACGCGATATCATTGCCTTCAAATCTCTATTAATGCTGTGCATCAGATATCTTCCACAGCAAAGAGCCGAGGAAACACAGTGGGAGTACAAGCTTCAGCTTCTGAGTGTGAGCTTCTTCTTCTGTTCTCTGATGCAAAACGCATTTGCAAAATGATTGCAACTTTGTAAACTCATGTCTTTACATGAAACAGTACCATTATCCTGTGCCCTTTTCTCAAAAGCGTATACATTAGTGTAGTGACGATTGACACAGATTGATGTTTGGAAAATTGTTCAGAGGACAGTTATGGGAAGAGACTTTACAGATTTAGGAGTGGTGACTGGAATCTGCAGAGTGCATTTATAAGAAGTGAATGTAGTCTCCAGGATTGAGCAGAAACAAAGCCATGGCTTTAATCCAACTCTAGAGTTGTTTTGGCTCAAACTGTGGCACTGTGTTTGTATTTTTAAGGGAGGATGACAGACCAAAAAAAACCCCAATATTTCCATATAAAACAGTGACTAAAATGGTTGGTTTGAATAATCTGTAATAATGTCAACACTGTCACAGTTGAAACCCAATCATTTCTTGGCAAAAACTCTGCAATATGGATCATGAAATCCTTCTTTTTGTTTCTATTGTTCTCTCATTCTCTAACTGAGGGTCCTGTGTAAAAGCCCACTGTACTTCCTGCCTTCCTTGCACTACATATATTTATGAATCAGACTCAGAAACACATTTTACTTGCACTGTCATCAGTTTCTCTATCAGAAAATCACAGCCCCCTTTTCTTCCTGTGGTTTCTATGGCAATCTTGTTTTCTATGCGAGTTGCTAAGGAACAGCCTCTGCAGCAGAGCGGTGCAGCAGTGATGTAAAGACTGTAGGTGAAGTGTAATAAAATGCTGATAGATGCAGCGATTGCTCTGTCAGCTTCACCATGTCCTTGGCTCAGGGCAGAGTCAGGGGCCTATTTGAGAACAGATAAACATTGTTTTGCCAACAAAACGAATCTGATACCACTAATCCTTAAAGCTATCTTAGGAAGCACAAACCAGACATTTAATTAGACTGGATGTACTTTCCTATAAATCAAGAATGCTGAAGATGAACAATTTCACAAGCAGCTGTTAACGTTTTGAAATGACGTGATCTTGATCTTAAACAAGCAGCTGTTAACGTTTTGAAATGATGTGATCTTGAGTGTTACTGAGCATCATATTCAGCTTCAATCATGGTGTTCCTAATCGAGAAAAAAATTAATTTTTTGTCCCACAATGAAGAAATTCACAGAGTGAGACTGCAACCAACACAGACTGGCACAGGAGGCGCCATATACTATATGTGGTTCCTCTGGGGCTCAAACCAAGGACCTTCTGTGTGCAAGGCATATGGGTTAGTCGGGTCTGATAACTGCTGCATTATGGATCCATGAGAAAGTATTAGGGCTGGGTATTTTGATGCGTTAATTCATTAATTAGTTTATATAGTTTATAGTTTAGATTTTATTTATTTGTTTGTTTGTTTGTTTCAACATTTTTTATTATTTTCTGTATGTATACGTCTGTTGCTTACTGCTGCAGCGCTCACATGAACCGGAAATGAAGAGAATGCACCTTTTGCAAAACCCCGCCTACAGACGGTCATTGTGCAATCATACATCCCAACAACCGCTATTATATATGTTCCTACCTGGTGAAGTGATTTAAGTCAGTAGTAGCATTAGCAGTTTGTTTCGGAAATAGGATACGATAATATGGTTAGCGCCGTTAAGCGTCGCGGAACGCTAAGAGCTAATGCTAATGCGAGGTAGAATCAACAAAACAATTAAATGGATTTTAACAGAGAGTGGATGAGCAGGATGACTTCTCAGAAGGTCAGTTTCGGTAAGTGGTATAGGTAACACTATAAACTAGTACATTTTTGGTGAATGTAAACACGTTTACACAATCACTGACTGAATGCATTTAAAAATGATTTACAACAGGGACCATTTTTACTACACAGTGCAGTGGCTCTTGAGAAACTTCCCACCACGGCATTTCAAACTGCACACACTAATGGATGTGGCGATGGGCTGTAATTGTGTTATGCTTAACCACCAGCCTCTCTAACACCAACAGAGTCAAGACGTTTCATAATAACAAATGTCAGTGGTCACCAGGGGAGGGGGTCTAGATCCACAGTTGGGCAGGAAAGCTGTGGGACAGATTTGTATTGTTGTCTGTCGTAAACAGTCCATTATGCTACTTTATATATAAGCCAACTGTATATGTATGGAGCTCAGTATCATTTATCCCAAGCAGCAAAACACATTTTTGAGGTTGACTTGCATAAAGAATCATTAATACGAAACAATTGCGTTTTTTTTAAAGAGAAAATTGATAGATTTTCAAACATCACACCGGTAAGCATCACTTCCAGTTTGGGTTTTGTTTCCTTTCATATTGATTTTTTTTTAATGAAAATTTGATTTTGTCAGGAGCCGTTACCTTAAGTAAAGTTCAGAAATAGAGCAAGCAGAATAGAAATGGATTATTGCCAGAGACCAATAATCAAGTCATCAAATTAGCACAGTATTTGTAATGTTTAAAGAACAAACAAACATTAAAGCTAACCAAGAACTAGCTTAAAAGCCAACGTAAACAGCCAATAGTACATATGCTACAGGTTAAATGACTTTCTGGTCCCTGCTGATTACAAATCCCCAGTTTAGTGCACGGTTACATTTGGTTAGAAATCCCAGATGCATTTGTTTTATGCATTTGTGTGTTTCACGAACAAGGCTCAGAGATTGACAAATGACAGTTTGACATCTGACAGGGTCAATATTTTCCCAGTGCATTCGATGATGGATCGTCCAGGATATGTGCGTTCAGAGAACATCTGATTATTGGACTGTTGTATCTAATCACATGTACTGTGTTGTGAGCACTGTCAGTTTGTCATGGATTACTGATCAATAGTTACCCTCATAAAAAAGTTTTTCACTTGCTGTGCCTACAGTAGAATGTAGGGTTTCTATTCACAATAAAGAAATACAAGCTGAGACACATGTTAAGAAGTCAAATTATAGTAAAATGTATGTGTTAAACCTGTTAACACAGACAACAGTTGATTTGCTATCGTGCCATTAATCCTCCACAGTCCACTCTGTCAAAACTGTTTCCATTTATCCTTCAGGCAACACCCAGCCATTTGTCCATACTGTGGACTCTGGTTACATCAGCAGTCTGATTCTGCCCTGGCAGCCGTTGGCTGGCCAGTATGTTGTTTTGAGATAGTGAAAAGAAAATATAGGATTTGTATGTTTAAAGGCTAATAGGCAGTGGAGACGGTGTTTTTTGCAGATAATATAAAATGCAGTTATTTCTGTGAAAACTTCCTGTTTTTCCCCTCCAGGAATTCTGTGAAAACTTCCTGTTTTTCCCCTCTAGGAATTGGACTGGGATGTTGTGATGACGGTGTAATTTAATAATAAACAAACTCAGGTTACCACAGTTAGACTGTTTGCTCTCATGCATAGAGAAGTATACATGACTTTTGCCAGGTTTAGAGTTTTATTCAACGTTCTATGATACCTTTTAACATACACATTGAAAACACATTTGTTTTGTGATTTATTTTATAATTGACAGTCCATCCTTCCTTGTTTAATTTTACAGTAACATTACTTATTCACAATGTCTTCTATATAAACCATGACCTGAATGTACAATCAATCGCAGGACATCAATAAATGTACATTATGTGGCACTCTGCTGTTGTTAAACATATTAATTAGGCTTTTCAGCGGAAGATTAGGACATTATCAACATCTTCATTTATTCATGACATCCTCTGAGTCTGCCATGATGACAGCTGCACGTCTCTGTGCACACTCGCTCGTTCTGTAAGCTTAATGTCTCACTGTGGGGACAATGTCCTTTTTGGTAGTTTCATAAAATACTTTGTAAAGGATGTGAAGATTGATGTTTTTTTAGCACACTTGATGTGGACTGTTGCCTTTAACTGATTTTGGGCATAAGAGAAAATCAAAATCAAGTTACCTAATTAAAAAAAAATCTCTATACAGTTAACTGTAAGCAAGTCTACAAATGTTTCTTTTCCAGGTAACCTGCCTTCAAGACTTTTTCGGAGATGATGATATATTCTTCGCCTGTGGCCCAGAGAAGTTTCGTTACCAGGATGACTTCAGACTGGATGAAAGTGGTGAGTCTACATAAAGAATTTTACAATGATCTTAAGTAGACTGGCAGGTTAATCTTTTTATTATGGCAACTGTATACAGTAAAAATGTAAGTAAATTTGATGTGGGTCATATTGTTATGGCGTCTTCAGAACTGCATTGTGTATAATTGTCTTTCATTAATAGAATGCAGAGTGTCAAAGTCTGCATCATACGGACGCCTTCCGTTTGTTATGGCTCGCTCTTCTTCACCAAGAGGTGGTGGGTTTTCTCGCAGAAGCAAATCTCCCTCATCTACTGGGACAGGTAACTTGTTCTCTAAGAAATGTAATAAATAGATTAATAAAGATTTGTTCTTTTCTTTTTCAGTGGCCTGACAAAAAAAAAGTACGTTTAATTTTCATACATTTTTACTTATGGTCCAGCTAACGGCACTGTGGGGAGTCCACTATCAACACCACGATCTGGGAAGTCTATGAGTCCTTCTCCAACCAGTCCAGCCAGCCTCAGAAGGCGACAGGTATTTCAAAAATATTTCTGTAATTAGATGACGATCTGTTGACATAAAGTGTGCGCAGACGTTTACTTACATTTGCTTTACAAAACCAGCAACACACCTCGTACAGTCGAGATACACTGTTAATGTGGTGTTGTATAATTGCCAGCATTTTAAATTCTAAAAACATAAATGATAATATCTAAGTATAGTCTATATAGTCTTTTATAGTCGTCTTCATCTTCTTTTGTGCGTGACCTCTCTCTCTCTCTCTCTCTCTCTCTCCCCCAGGGATCTCAGCACAGTGGCTCCTCACTCTCTTTGGCTTCTACTAAAGTTTGTAGCTCAATGGATGAAGGAGATGGACCTGGCAGTGAAGGCAAGACCACAATCCTGAATATAAACTGCCAAATGATTTATAATACTTCTATAGCAATTCAAATTGATTTTTTTTTGTACAATGTGCTTGTCACACAAATATACTGCATTTACAGTTGCTTCTAGAAAGGTTGTGTGTAGGGTTCATTCTAAGATAAAGTACATAAGTGGGAATCAAACAACTGCTAGGTGATATATTCAACAATAGAACAGGAACTATTATTTACTTAAAATAATTTGCTGTCATTTATCTGTTACACAGACAGATAGAACAATCAAGTACTCTTCCACTAGGTGGGAGTAGATGGCTATGAAGCTAAAAAGTGATAGTCAGCTGTTGAAGAAGATCTTATTTGGCTTCATTCAATTCCTGCAAGTATATCAGTGTTGTGTTCAACTAAACAGACCCAGGGAAAACACAGAGTTAGTACATTTTGAGTAAATTGAAACCAGTAGTCATTTTATTTCATATATTTATTTTATATTTTATTTTGACCCCCAGGCGATACATTAGAGGACCATGGTCCAGTCCCGGCTTCTATTGGGGACAGGTACAAAGTGGGGAGGATTTTGGGTAACGGCAATTTTGCTGTTGTGAGGCAGTGTGTGGAGAAGTCCAGTGGACAAGAATTTGCACTGAAGATCATCAGCAAAGAGAAATGCAGAGGAAAGGTGAGGTCATGCATGTTTGATGGCAGAAATCCAAGATAGCGAGTCACTATACAGTAGTGTTCCCCCTGGTGGCTGAGGTCAGCAGTGAACTGTTGAACTGGATTTTTTTTTATATTTACTATTTAGTACATAAATGTATTTGTTAAATTTGTCTTCTTACGCAGGAACACATGATTCAGAGTGAGGTGTCACTCCTTCGATGTATCAAACACCCCAACATCATACTGTTAATAGAAGAAATGGACACACAGAGTGACATTTACCTCGTCATGGAGCTGGTTAAGGTAAACATATTTAGTTGATATCTTCAAAAAGATTCGACTGCTGATACAGACGTTTTATTGAATTCATCAATAACTCTGCTGTTGTTTTCTTTCTGTAGGGTGGTGACCTCTTTGATGCTCTCACCTCCGCCAACAAATACACTGAACGGGACGCCAGCTGTATGCTGTTCAATCTGGCCAGTGCTGTGAAGTACCTGCACAGTCACAACATCGTTCACAGAGACATCAAACCTGAAAACCTGCTTGTGTGTATTCATGATTCTACCTTCTAATAGTTCACCAAATTAGATGAAACCTTAAATTATTTCTGGTTTAACTTTATATTATTTTTTTAAATATTATGTGCATGTACAAATGTAATGGGAACGTTACATTTTTGGAAGACTATTTTGCAGGTTGAATTATTATTATAATTTAATCATTTTTCATACATTTAAATGTATGAACTTATTACCATGATGTTAATCTTGTGCTACTCTGTGTTCACTTTCTTCAGGTCTATGAGCACAGTGATGGGAGTCGATCTCTAAAACTAGGAGACTTTGGTTTGGCCACTGTTGTTAATGGTCCGCTATATACGATGTGTGGAACGCCCACTTATGTAGCACCAGAGATCATTGCTGAGACTGGGTGAGTTTGAAAATCTAAATAAAATAAATGTAGATAAGATAAGAGAATTTCACAATAAATCTTTGAATCATAAACCCTTCTTACTGATCCATCATTACAGTTATGGCCTTAAAGTTGATATATGGGCCTCTGGTGTCATTGCCTACATACTGCTCTGTGGATTTCCTCCATTCTGTGGGTATGTCCTCCACATATTCAACCTTCACCTTTACATAATCTTTTTTTTAATATTTCCAAAAACAAACGTGTTTGCATTGTTTCAAATGTGTGTTTTCTGTTCATTGCAGCAGTGGTAAAGATCAGGAGTCCCTCTTTGAACAGATTTTAAAGGGTGAACTGGATTTCCCTGCAGCATACTGGGACAGTGTGTCTGATTCAGCCAAGGTGTGTTTATAAAAAGTATAATTTTCAGTTGTCATGTTTTTAAACTGTTTTGAAAATGTCCATTTATTAATTGCTCTTGAAAACTGTTTTCAGTGTCTGATCAGTGAGATGCTGCAGGTAGACGTGGATCAGAGATACACAGCCGTTCAGGTTCTTGATCACCCCTGGATCAATGTAGGTTCAGCCCCCTGACCAACCAGCATGTGTGTATATTTATAAAGAGATGATGAAAATAAAATGAGGAAACTTTGCTCTTGTTTTTTTGCAGGATGAGAGTGTGTCAGAGAATGAGCAGCAGCTGTCTGTGGCTGAGAAAGTCAAGAAACACTTCAACACTGGAGCCAAGACCAACAGCCCCTCAGCAGGCGTGTCAGTTATTACAGTAAGGACTCGTCTTTCACTACTTCAGTTTGAAGGGAAAGTGAGTCGAGGTGATTGGCTGTGGCTCATATATGACCTCAGTTCAAGTCTTGAAAGGGAACCAAGTGTTATTTCTGCTTTTGATGAAACCAACATGTTAAAAAATAGAGATGTCTAGGTGAAGTAGTACTGTAAGTCAGGGTTAAATGTTTTTTTTTTTTTGTACATGGTGTGTTTTTCACATTGTAAATATTAAGGCTAGCAATGCTACCATATATCTCGAAATTTCGCCTTGCTGCACGTTATCGATAAACTGGCAGCAAATATCGATGTTTACGATAAACATTAAATGGTTCTAAACAGATGCCTCCACAAAATCCTGCTGCAATTCTACAAGCATCCACATGATGGCGCCTGGGACCAATACGCGTGAGATGGATTAAGGGCAAAAATAAAAACAAACCAGGCTAAGCTAGCCAGCATTACCTTATGTGATAAAACCCTAGTTATACTATGGTCAATGGTTGCGATTGCTTGAGAACTGTGCGTGAGACAGAATTCTTTTTCAAGGGGGATGTTCTCCTCCGTCAAGATGAATTTTTTTAAAAAATTAGTAAAGGGTGCACAGATAGTCAGTGTAAAATATGTCGAGGTACAGTAACAGGAACATGAGTGTAAGGACATTATTGGTAAAAATAAAAATAAGACCTGGCAGACCTTAGGAACAGATGGCAGGTAGATTTATTTCAGGAGACCAGATTAAAAGGAAGTAAGTGTTCAACCTGTTCTACCATGTGGATGGTAGAAATGAGCAGCTTTGTTTTTACACCATACATTAGATTGTGCTACATTCACTTTCTTTTTTTGGGAACTTTTTGCCCTTCATAATGGCTCTCAGGTGTAAGTCAGACTCTTCTGATGTTTTTATGTCCTACATTATGATGTTATCACTGTGTTAAGTAGGTGAGTGACATAGGTACTAATGTACAGTATGTGTGTTCCAAAATACTACAAAAATTGAATTACATTGCATCATAGGAAGTGAATTCCAATGTACCCCAGTATACCATATATGTGTCAGACCAGTATACCATATATGCCCCAGTATACCATATATGTGTCAGACCTGGGTTTGAGACTCCTGCTGTGTCGTGACACCTTTCCTGGGATTACTCCTGGCTTGTTTGAAGTTACAGTGTTCTTATAATCTCACTTCTCCTCTCTGCCTCTGTTTCCCTCTCTTCTTCTTTCAGACCACGCCCCTTGACAAGGAGCAGCAGGGTTTAAGAGAACAACGCTATCAGAATGTAAAGTCCCTTCTTCCACACGGTTCCTACGTAAGTCATGGCCTCTCCCCTGCTGACATCAACTCTGAGTCTGAAGACTGTTCCCAAAGTTCAGCTGACACAGTCAGGTCACCTGTATCCCCATTTTAAAACATTTTTTCTATGAAACAAGCTAAAAAAAAGGCAAACCCTGATATGATAAGTTGGTTTGTCTGATGACTTTTAAATATTTTTATTTGTCTTGTCTGTTTGAATATTAACAACGCTGATCAGTTAAAGGGCACGATCATGACATGATCAAAGATCTCTCTGGAGCAGCATGCAACATGTACTCTGTTTTACAGTATGACTTTCTTTGATTTGGCAAATTGAATCAGTCTCTTACTTTGCACTGTAGGTTTTAGTCTAAGGTAGTGATCTAGTCCCATCTGCTGGTTAGAACTTGTACTGTAGGAAAAGTAGCCTGTTTTCAATCAGGCATCACTTCATCCTTCCATCATTTTCAGGGTCACTGAGGGAGTGAAAATGTTGTAATCCCTGGACAGGTCAGCTGTCCATCACAGGGCTGCATACTGTACAGAGACAGAATGTCTTTTACATCTACATCCACACCTCCATTTATCATGATCAGTTAATATAATCCCAAGTAAACGTAATACAGGGGAAGATGTTTGTTTTTTTATACTTTAGCAACGATTACATCACATTTCCTTTGGGATCACAGAGTGATCACTTCACTCCTCTCTGAACTGCTCTGTGGTCCTCATGCTACAGATCAGCTGATCAGACTGTAAACAGAGTATTTAGAATCTATCTATACTGTACATCTTTCAACCCTTATGCTTTACCAGGAGAATACCAGGCAAAGGCAAGTACAGCATTAACTGAGTGTTCCATTTAATTGTATTCCCAACCTGCATGTTGTTGGACTGCGATAGAAAACTGGTTAAAAAAAACAAACCCAAAACAATACAACTCACACATACAGTAGTTAGAACAAAAAAAAATCTACACGTAACGTTTATTGCTCAGAGCTGAACTTGTCTTACCAGTTACCAGTGTCACCACTTTGTAGACATAATTTGGTGATTTATGTTAAAAGTGGAGTACAAAGAATGTACAAATAAAAAGTATTATAATTAGCCAATGCAGCTACTGCAACAGTGCTGCCCCCTGGCTGTTTTTTCTTATTATCCACTGTTTTGCAGGTGGAGATATTGAGAATGTTAAATGGTAAAAAAAAATGTAATCCAGCAGGTGACAGTAATGTAGTCAAAAGGCAGCAGAGCTACCTTTGAAGCACAAAGAAGAATCAGCTGGAGGCACAGTTCAGCTAACTTGGTAGTGAATGTTATAAGCAGCAAAACTCCTTTTGTGCCATTGTTCTTAAATCTATCAGATGTATAATAAGTACAAAGACATATAGCATTATAAAATATCAGTGGTGCCGTGCCCAGGGTCACCGGGGCAGCTCACCTTTTACTCAGCATGTCAGAAGCACCTGGTTTTAACCCTGTGGGCAGTTGCTAGTCTCCAAAGTTAAATACTGAACTTTATCATGTTGAAAAGGTTTTAACCCAGTTGCAAGATTAGATAAATATAAAAACCACTGCGTTACACCGGAACAAGTCATGCATTAAACAGTGTTTATAACACCCTCCAGAGTGGGGTGCTATAAATACACAGGTACTGTGTTTATACAGTTGTGAAAAGTCAAAAGTTGCTGAATATATTTAATTTATCGATGAAATACGGTAGCAAAAGAATGATAAATACTTTACATTTAAAATGCAGTTTTGTTGTTAGTCGATGTGCAAATATTCTATTGGAAAAAGTGCAATTATGAAGAGCACACTAACAAATATGTGTCATGAAATGCTGGATCAAGAAAGAATGTAAAGTGCTTCCAATAATTTCCAAATATTCATTTTTTTAAGGACATCTGTCTCATTAAACTGTATGTAGTATTTTACAGAGTACTCAGATAATTGAATGTCCTCTTCTCTTTATCAGAGACTCTGAGCTTCATAATATGCAACCGGAATATTTTCTCTGGTCTGTAACTGTTTCACATGTGTCTTTATCTACTGTTTGAGCACCAAAACACACCTTTAAATCACTCCTCAATCTGCCAACAAAGTCAAAAGGAATTTTAGGAATAATCTCGATTTGTTTTTGCAAAACATTCTCCTTTTGACATAGTTCTGGGCCTAATTAGCTTTATGCTTGGCCAATAATTTACTATTTTTTTCTTTATGTACTTGATTAGGGTCAGCTCAGTTTGTTTTATTATTGTTGTTTTTGGTTATTTATTTATGGGTTAATCTCTGCTAAGACACAGTCTTAAATACTCTAAGTTTTGTTTTGTTTTTGGGTGTTTTTACCCAAATATGTTTAATTTATTTTATCTTTTGGTAATCAAAGGTAGCAATCAGGGGCTATTTTCTAGCTATTTCTGGCAAAAATATTTTATTTATAATTTTGTTAAAAATGCTTTTCCATATGTTTGTGTTTTGACAAAAACATTTTCAGTGAATGGTAACCCACAATAACACACATGAAGATATACATTAAATATGGATATTTATATAGTGACCAATAGTAAGAATTAAAGGGAAGTAGCACATATTTTGAAGGCATTCTCTACTAAACACTTACTCATTTTTATGGCCCCAATCATTTGAATAGAAATGACTGAATCAGACAAAATGCAGAAAGATTATTTGTTTGGTTTCATCGTGTGGAAAAACTAAATTGCATTTGTACAGTTTAACAATAACGAACGTCAGTGAATGTTGCATCTGGTGTTGTCCTACTGTTGTTCATACTTTATTTATGTGAGAATGTATTCAGGGAGACGGAAGGAGAGGAAAAAGCACATTGAACAATTAAACGTGTTCAAAAAAGCAACAACATGATTTTAAACAAACAAAGAGCGGGAATAAAAGTGAAGAAACTTAACGAGTCGACATTTTCACTGTGGTCTGGTGTTTTGTGTTACTGGGCAGAACTACAATGACTAACTTGAACAGCAGGGGGCGGTACAGTCAAACAATTGTCACATTTCCCGCTAAACATCTGTTAAGCGAATACATTTACGAATCGTTTAATTAATTATTGCAATTGTCTAAACAAATTGATGCACGGTACATTAAAAGTAGATTATTAGTCTATATTTTCTTCATACGATCGCATTACCTTCTTCAAAACAAACATTTTGATTTTTCATTTAGGAGACAAGACAATGTTTTCTATCAAATACGTACATAAAAATGTTTCAGAGCTTGTTTTATTAACAGTGATGTACACTTGGACAAGTGGGTCAAAGGGGTCCTATGTACCAGAAGGAAGGTTTTGCAAGACCTGAAGCAAACCATTGAGTCATAGGGTTGTTACAGACTATGCTTTTTACTTTTACTGGAGTAGATTTATGAAGAAAAAACAGTACTCTTACTCCGCTACATTAGGCTATACTGAGCTCGTTACTCGTTACAGAGGTACTGGATAAAGCTTTAGCTATATTCTCTATTCGCTATAGATCCATGATCCAGTATCTCTACTTTTATTTTGTCAGAGAGTGACTTCCGCCCAAGGCTCTACCGCGCGACTGTAACCAATAAAATATAGCCCTTGCTGCTCAGTCTCGTCACGTGACCATACTCGATCTCGGCGGCGGGACGGATTAGTTCAGCGGTCAATATCCACCACAGCAAAAAAAAAAAAAAAGCCAAAAAAATGGCAGAATCAACGGTCAGCAAAGACAAGGAGGCACACCTTGGCCTCATATTGAAAGTATGTTTAGGTTACAAACATAGCGAAACAGCAGTTTCATCATGCTGTGTCGGCCCAAACATACGGATATTACAGCTTTCAAAAGCTCATCGTCCAACCTGAGGAAACATGTTGCGGTAAGTTTGACCAACAAATCTTTTTTTTTTCTTTTTGCTGTGGATAGGCGAATGTTTGTGCTGTTAGGTTACTCAGTGCTGAGCTCGAACTGATTGTAGCCTCAAAGACGTGTTTTTATCTACAGAGGGTCCAGAGGTTTGGAAGTTGTTACTTGTGCTGTAATTTAAGTTATTTTGTAAATATTCAATTCTTCATGTATTTTTTTTATTTGATTGGTTTTTATTTTTTATTAAAGTACTTTAACTTACCTAAAGGCTATTTGATTTTAAGGTATTTAATTTGATTTGTTTTATTATTTTGTTGATGAGAAACTCTTCTCTGTAATTTTGTTTATCTGGTTGAATGTTACTCAACATTTACTCAGTACTTGAGTAGTATTTTCACCATGTACTTATTTACTCTTACTCAAGTAATTATTTGTTTGACTACTTTTTACTTCCACTTGAGTAATTTTATTCTGAAGTAACAGTACTTAAGTACAATGTTTGGCTACTCTACTCACCTCTGCTCAATACTCTCAACCTCAGATTAGCTTTCAAGGCCTTGTAATAGCCTTAGACCGAGAAACCATCCTCAACGTTATTGGCAAAACCATGTCCTCACCATAGTTATACATCAGAAAACGACAACAACAGGCGGCACCTCCTGTGGTGCTCTTCTATTAGGTGTCTACTAAGGTACAGCTGTGCAACGTATCTGCTGCAGGAAAGAAACTCCACAATGACGTTTTTTGCTTAATGTTATCTAGTCCCTTATTAGGTTTTATTATGAAGAACATGAACACCTCCAGAAAGAGTAAGCTGTAGAGCTGCATGGGCTAAATGGGAGGGTTAATAAACTTGGACATGTCCTGATACCGGACCAGCCGTTCTCCAGCCCATGTCAATACACTGTGACGGTGCAGTACTGTGATGATGACTAGCCTCACAAGATCTGGTTTTACAGCGATGACTGTATTTTCTTTCCAACTTTGTCTAAACGGGAGAAGTAACCAAACATCAGGTGTGTACGTTAATATATAACAGCTGGGTTGCTTGTTGCTGATGATTTGACTTTTTTGTGTCAATTCTGTTAATCAACAGTTTCTGTTCTAGTAAAAACTGATTAATTTCTTCCTCCGGTGAATGATTAGTGCTGTCGACTAACATCATGAAGATCATTTGATGGTTCTTCAGTGTAAACTGATGGCCTTTCTGTTTGCAGTTTGAATCTTCTCCCTGTATGTAGGTACACAGTTGATAGAAAGTTGATAATTGGTATAACTGTGAGTGTTGTTGGTTGGTTGTCTCTAGTGTACTGTGTGTGTGACCCTGTGATGGACCGGTGAACAGGTGAGGGTGTACCTCAGCCTCACCTAATGACTGTTGGGACTTCAACCCAAGTGTGTTTCACTTGGTGACAACAACGATGGAACTGTGGGTAGAGAACCGTATAGGCTGGTTGCTTGTATGAAGCCTCAGTACATAAAATAACCTTTGAAAGACGCTTCACTGGACCTGATCTGAATCCGTCCACGAGGTGTTACTCCAGGTACGGCTGTGACAAAGTAAAGTGTTTTAGATGTTTTGAACTGCTGATGCACTTATTTATAAACCTCAGACCATGTGCCATGTATTTCTGAATTATGACGGACTAAATTAAATCTGGAAATCTAGTAAAGTAATTTCTTTCTTTCGCTGTCTCTTAAATATTTTTAGAATGACTATTAGAAAAGGAGTATTTTCCATTCTCTTTTTTAGCTCTCTTTTTTTTAAAGTCTATATATGTATATTTGTATTTTAGACTTATCAGTTCACTCCACAAGACAGAGCAGGAGGTAATAAAGAACAAAGAAAGAGGCAGAAAGGCCACACTGTGGTTGGGAAACACACAGTTACCATCTGTTTCTGCTGAAACACAAAAAGATTATGTTCATATTTAAAGGCCTAATTCTTGAGAAAGTGATCAGCACTATTGCCATAGCCGGTTCTGTAATATTTGGATTGGATTCCCTACATTTTGTTTGACATTTGTGCCCTACACTAGTTACATTTGATTTCTATTCTATACAATTTTATTTATCTGCTATTGGCTGTAATTAACGTTTTACATTGTTTACATTGATGAATCATTGTTTTAAAATCATTTGAAATAACCTTGATTTTTTTTTTTAATTGATCTCAGGTAAAGGCACACATCAGTCTTAAGGACCATGCATGTTGAAACCACATGGCTGACCACATTAATGGCTCTCTGACTCAGAGCCGGCCACTGGTGCGAAGTAATAACTCCCGTATGATTCTAGTACAGATTTTTGTGGCCCTTTTCCTTGGCATCAATACCACACTCCTTGCTGTACTCTTCCTAAAGGAAATCCACTACACCACCATGCGATACATCCTGTTTGCTGTAACTCTAATTTCTGACTCTGTGATCCTACTCTTCTCCAACATTTTGCTCATCTATAGTTATTATGATATAAACATCCAGATCTGGTCCTGCATATTATTTTGCGTGCTGTTGTCCATCTACTCATTTGTCACTCCAGTCAACCTGACAGCCATGACACTGGAGCGCTATGTGGCCATTTGCATGCCTCTGCGCCACGCTACGCTGTGCACTTTGCGCTCCACTGTGAACGCCATCCTCATTATCCACTGCCTAAGCTCCATACCGAGCCTGGTCATACTTTCATTGCTCTTTGCTTCAACATCGCTGAGTTTCTACCAAAGATACAGCATTTGCTCTTTTGAAACGCTCATCATTCACCGCTGGCAGGGTCACCTGAGATCTGCCATCAGTCAGTTTTATTTCCTCGTCATGTTGGTCACTATCGTGTTCTCCTACGTGAAGATTATGAGAGTAGCTAAGGCAGCATCCGGAGAGGACAGAAAGTCATCATTACGAGGGCTGAGGACGGTGGCTCTGCATGGTTTTCAGCTGCTGCTCTGTCTCATCCAGCTGTGGTGTCCCTTCATAGAAATGGCTGTACTTCAGATTGATTTCAGGTTGTTCATTGACGTCAGATTCTTTAACTACATACTCTTTATGCTTGTACCACGTTGCCTGAGTCCTCTCATTTATGGCCTCAGAGATGAAAAATTCTGTCAGTCACTCAAGCATTGCATTCTGGGAGGCTTTCACAGGAAACAGCGTTTCCAAATATCACATGTCAGAAAATGACGTTTTATCGCTGAGATATTTGGACAGACCTGAAGTTCTTTTCTACGCTCTGGTAAATGTAATCATTGAGTGCTAGCATACAAAGCTTTCAGGCTAATCAACTGTGTTACTTTAACAAAATATTTAGCTAATTTAAATTTTTTTAAGGACACCCCAGGGCATATTTTACTATTTTAGTTTACGTTTACTGAATATACTTAAACTCACTGAACATTTCAATGTTCATTAAATTACATCACATTCATTCTTGTGCCAAAGTGTCTGAGTCCTCTGATTTATGGCCACAGGGACGGGACATTTTTTGCCGTCATCTGCTTTGTGTGGTTTGTGTAAGAAACAATAACAATTTAAAATAAATAAATAAATAAAGCTATTCGCTGTCTTTTAGTGATTTGATGGTTTTGTTTTCTTCTAAATGGACTGAACGATAATCTAGGGTGATAGTCTGTTATTGTTTGGACTTCACTGTGATTAGTTGTGTGTTTCCAGTTTTATGAAAATGCCTTACATTTTGCAAAGAAATTTTCAATAACTTCAGTTTAGAAATTCAATTTCAAAAACAACAAAAAGCCAAAGTTGAGCAAAGATTTTGAGCAACTTCTCAGCTGCACTGTTAAAGAGAAAGGAAACAATTGATTACTCCACCACTGATATAGAGGTCTGTGACTATGTGAAAACACCGCAAATTCCCAGAATGAAGACAAGCTTCCCTGTTTGGCCAAGTTGCTCAAATCTGTTACCTGGCTTTTGTTGAAGTAAGGACATGTCCTGATACCGGACCAGCCGTTCTCCAGCCCATGTCAATACACTGTGACGGTGCAGTACTGTGATGATGACTAGCCTCACAAGATCTGGTTTTACAGCGATGACTGTATTTTCTTTCCAACTTTGTCTAAACGGGAGAAGTAACCAAACATCAGGTGTTTACGTTAATATATAACAGCTGGGTTGCTTGTTGCTGATGATTTGACTTTTTTGTGTCAATTCTGTTAATCAACAGTTTCTGTTCTAGTAAAAACTGATTAATTTCTTCCTCCGGTGAATGATTAGTGCTGTCGACTAACATCATGAAGATCATTTGATGGTTCTTCAGTGTAAACTGATGGCCTTTCTGTTTGCAGTTTGAATCTTCTCCCTGTATGTAGGTACACAGTTGATAGAAAGTTGATAATTGGTATAACTGTGAGTGTTGTTGGTTGGTTGTCTCTAGTGTACTGTGTGTGTGACCCTGTGATGGACCGGTGAACAGGTGAGGGTGTACCTCAGCCTCACCTAATGACTGTTGGGACTTCAACCCAAGTGTGTTTCACTTGGTGACAACAACGATGGAACTGTGGGTAGAGAACCGTATAGGCTGGTTGCTTGTATGAAGCCTCAGTACATAAAATAACCTTTGAAAGACGCTTCACTGGACCTGATCTGAATCCGTCCACGAGGTGTTACTCCAGGTACGGCTGTGACAAAGTAAAGTGTTTTAGATGTTTTGAACTGCTGATGCACTTATTTATAAACCTCAGACCATGTGCCATGTATTTCTGAATTATGACGGACTAAATTAAATCTGGAAATCTAGTAAAGTAATTTCTTTCTTTCGCTGTCTCTTAAATATTTTTAGAATGACTATTAGAAAAGGAGTATTTTCCATTCTCTTTTTTAGCTCTCTTTTTTTTAAAGTCTATATATGTATATTTGTATTTTAGACTTATCAGTTCACTCCACAAGACAGAGCAGGAGGTAATAAAGAACAAAGAAAGAGGCAGAAAGGCCACACTGTGGTTGGGAAACACACAGTTACCATCTGTTTCTGCTGAAACACAAAAAGATTATGTTCATATTTAAAGGCCTAATTCTTGAGAAAGTGATCAGCATTGTGATAAAAAGACTTTCTTCATGTTGTTTGAAGAAAGTGTATTGAAAGCTGATGATCTGTTAAACCTATAATTGGATTTTGTGAAAGAAGTAAATGGAATTTTTTTTTCATTTTTCTGATTAATTCAGGATTTGAATTTTTCTGAAATACCCTTCACATTGATTATTTATTATAAATTATTTTATCACTTTAAATCTGGAAGAAGTCCTGGTGTGCTATGAAAAAACGTCTGTTGTGGTCAGTAAATGTCAAATTATTCATATTTAAAATATTTCAGTAGTTTTTTTTCCTGAGCTGACAGAAATGGTTTTTATTGAAGTGAAATGTTTCGTCTGATCCTTTTTTTTTTAGAAAAAAAGGTTTCACTACTTTGTGACAGTTTCTCTTTTATTCAGTTGCATTGATTCCTGTTAGCTCTTGGATGTTTTTGACTAATTTGTTTCATTAAATTTTAATCTATATATCTGTAAATGTTTTTAAACCTTTCTCTTATTTTTAAAATGGATGCATCAATTGTCACTTAAAGCTTTTTCTATTTTTAAAGGTTTTTTGTATTTGTAGTTACCATTAACCTATAACCTGCTCGTCTTTTTTAACCCTTGGTGAGACTTTTAATATAATGTCCAATGTGGGGTTTTTTTGTTTGTTTGTTTTTGGTTAGCCGTAGCCGTTGTAGCCGGTTCTGTAATATTTGGATTGGATTCCCTACATTTTGTTTGACATTTGTGCCCTACACTAGTTACATTTGATTTCTATTCTATACAATTTTATTTATCTGCTATTGGCTGTAATTAACGTTTTACATTGTTTACATTGATGAATCATTGTTTTAAAATCATTTGAAATAACCTTGATTTTTTTTTTTAATTGATCTCAGGTAAAGGCACACATCAGTCTTAAGGACCATGCATGTTGAAACCACATGGCTGACCACATTAATGGCTCTCTGACTCAGAGCCGGCCACTGGTGCGAAGTAATAACTCCCGTATGATTCTAGTACAGATTTTTGTGGCCCTTTTCCTTGGCATCAATACCACACTCCTTGCTGTACTCTTCCTAAAGGAAATCCACTACACCACCATGCGATACATCCTGTTTGCTGTAACTCTAATTTCTGACTCTGTGATCCTACTCTTCTCCAACATTTTGCTCATCTATAGTTATTATGATATAAACATCCAGATCTGGTCCTGCATATTATTTTGCGTGCTGTTGTCCATCTACTCATTTGTCACTCCAGTCAACCTGACAGCCATGACACTGGAGCGCTATGTGGCCATTTGCATGCCTCTGCGCCACGCTACGCTGTGCACTTTGCGCTCCACTGTGAACGCCATCCTCATTATCCACTGCCTAAGCTCCATACCGAGCCTGGTCATACTTTCATTGCTCTTTGCTTCAACATCGCTGAGTTTCTACCGAAGATACAGCATTTGCTCTTTTAATATGCTCATCATTCACCGCTGGCAGGGTCACCTGAGATCTGCCATCAGTCAGTTTTATTTCCTCGTCATGTTGGTCACTATCGTGTTCTCCTACGTGAAGATTATGAGAGTAGCTAAGGCAGCATCCGGAGAGGACAGAAAGTCATCATTACGAGGGCTGAGGACGGTGGCTCTGCATGGTTTTCAGCTGCTGCTCTGTCTCATCCAGCTGTGGTGTCCCTTCATAGAAATGGCTGTACTTCAGATTGATTTCAGGTTGTTCATTGACGTCAGATTCTTTAACTACATACTCTTTATGCTTGTACCACGTTGCCTGAGTCCTCTCATTTATGGCCTCAGAGATGAAAAATTCTGTCAGTCACTCAAGCATTGCATTCTGGGAGGCTTTCACAGGAAACAGCGTTTCCAAATATCACATGTCAGAAAATGACGTTTTATCGCTGAGATATTTGGACAGACCTGAAGTTCTTTTCTACGCTCTGGTAAATGTAATCATTGAGTGCTAGCATACAAAGCTTTCAGGCTAATCAACTGTGTTACTTTAACAAAATATTTAGCTAATTTAAATTTTTTTAAGGACACCCCAGGGCATATTTTACTATTTTAGTTTACGTTTACTGAATATACTTAAACTCACTGAACATTTCAATGTTCATTAAATTACATCACATTCATTCTTGTGCCAAAGTGTCTGAGTCCTCTGATTTATGGCCACAGGGACGGGACATTTTTTGCCGTCATCTGCTTTGTGTGGTTTGTGTAAGAAACAATAACAATTTAAAATAAATAATTAAATAAAGCTATTCGCTGTCTTTTAGTGATTTGATGGTTTTGTTTTCTTCTAAATGGACTGAACGATAATCTAGGGTGATAGTCTGTTATTGTTTGGACTTCACTGTGATTAGTTGTGTGTTTCCAGTCTTTATGAAGATGCCTTACATTTTGCAAAGAAAATTTAACTTCAAAATTCAATTATCTTCCCTTTGATTGACATATTTTTTTTATAACTTCTTTTATAAAATCTGGAGAGGGATAGAAGAAGAAGACCGTGATGCCTTCAGGGTCTCTGTCCCTTGTTGTGAAATCACATTAATGCAGTAATGGTGTGTTTTGTTGTTGAGTGTGTTTGGCTGTGGAAATGTTAACCTTTGGTAGACTAAATGCTAACCTTGGCTGAAGTCTCTAATATTTTGGACTTCACTATGATTTACTGTGAAATTTACAAATTCTATTTTAAAAATTAAAATATTTTAATATATCTTTTTATAGACAAGACATTGTGAAAACTCTGAATGTTAAATCACTTTGGATCAAGAAATAAGGCTTTTGTTATAATAATCAGTCTGTCCATTTATGCCTAGTCCCAAGTTAATTTTCATTTTGCATCATTGACCTGATATCAATAATCGTGACTATACAAATATAAAATACATTGTTTATTTCTGTCTTGTGTCCATCCCCAGCCTTTGTGAAGATGCCTTGATGTTCGAGCTTCTTCTCTTGGCCTTCAAATGCATATGTTTAACATCCAATATCAGGTATTGGGCATGGATTTTTTTTTTAATTTTCAGTTGTCTTCCACATGACAGACATATTTTTTTATTTTGTAACTTTGGGTTTAAATGTTCACAGAATCAATCGAAAGATTTTGAAAAGATAAGTTACAACTATGTTAAACGACGTCAAAAACTAAAGAAGACCGTTCCTACAAAACGTATTGTAAATATGAGTAAGAAAATTCCGAATGAGAAAGACCAAGAGAAAGAAAAGGAAGAAAAATACGGACTAAAAAGTTCCGCTAGCCTAGCCGCTAACACGGAAAATGCCAATTCGAAGAATACAGAAGGAGAATGCTAAAGGAGCTGAAAAAACTCCGAAAAGAATATCAAGTTCCAATAAAGTTGGAAATAAAACTGTGTTTTCCACCACCAACTATCATAACTAACAATTAGATATGGAGAAACACAGACTCTGTCTAACAAACACTCAGTGTTCCTATAGTTACTTTCACCTTTGAGATTTGTTGTTTGTTGGTGGTGGCGCCATATCACTGCCAGACTGATCATGTTATACACCTTACTGTTATAAAGTCTTCAACCTCAGTTTTTCCTCAGGTTGGGGGACAGAGCTCCAGTAAAGTCCTCCACGTTTTAGACATTCATAGGTCAAACAGTTTCTCATTGAAATAAGTTGTGGTACCAGAGTAATGTTGTTGTCAAATCC